GCCGTACTGCAATAATTATACATTAACAGTAGTAAATATTTGTATATGATTTCATACATGTATATATATTTATATATACCTTTGTACTAATACATTATTATATGATGAATTATATACAATCCATATTATTCTAAGTCCGGGAAAAAGAACAGGAGATTACCTGATTCGCAATTGTCTCGGCGTTGGCAATTTTGTTAGTTTCGACTTCATAACACCACAATATAAATTTCTCCTTATGAGACAACCCATCATCTGTCAAGCTACCGAGGCTTGTTAGTAGTAGACGAGTTACCTCATTAATTAGTAACTTGAACGCCATAGATGGACAAAAATCAAAACCCAGCCATTTGGTAACCACTCGTAATCGCTCTAGTAACCGTTCTTTTAGATTGATTGTGCCTTCTCTTCAGCATCCCGTGAATATTTCTTCTTACAATTCCCTCTTCATCGGTGAATCAATTGCTATTCCCCTAATTTCTTCTTCACCAATGGGTTCTCATCACGGCAACGATCTACATGAAATAAAATCATTTGTTGCAGCTCAAATTATAGAAATTTGTGTGTTCATGAGTCTGCCATCATATATATGGACACCTAAAATTGATGATACCTCAATGGTTGATTCAAAAATCGAAGAGAGGAGCAGGAGTGGTTTTGGAGTGGCAGAAGAGAAAGAAAGCACGTTAATATAAATTCCCCCCCCCCCCCCCCCCCCGGAAAAGCCCCCAAAATGACGTCGTTTGGAGGGTCTGTTTTTTTCAAATTTTGTAAACTTATTATTAGGAAACTGTATTCATGAATTTGTGTTTAAACTCCTAATAAGTCGGTGATTTGATATCAAACCCATCCGACGAACGAGATCACTTTGAAGGTGACGCTTAATATTTCTTGGGCATTTAATTTCTTGGCTACTGTGACTTTTATTTAAGTATAAAGATAAAAAACCTTTGACATACATGTTAATAAATGATTGTAATTTAATTTACATATAAATTCTAAGAACGAATTATAGTTTGAAATGAAATGGTAATTAGCAGAGGCGCGCAAGTCATCATGGCCGAAGGCCCGAAGGAACGAAGTAGACATTCTTCAAGGCTATAAGGTAAAAAGGTCGCGATGACTAGCAAGCCTGGCAAGAGCATAGGATCCTCGGTAGGCTATTGGCTTTGGTACGTTTCTAGATCAAATTATCTGACAATAATACTCCATTAACTTGCACAGTATTAAATGTATAAAAATAATTATAGACAGGCACACGAAAAACATTTCAATCAATTTTGTTATTAAACATACTGTCGGGATGTACTGAAATTTTCATTGATCTAGCCAGAGCGTCATAGATGACAAACTTGTCTGGTGGAATACATCACATAGTACAAGCTGGATACCACACTGCATTCAATGCCGGTACTCATCACTTGCACCAACATCATCAACAACAACAAAGGGAAAGGCTTGGAAGAAATTATGGAACTTTAGAGTGCAACCGAAGCATAAAATGCTTTTTGGGGGGCAAATATGAATGCTCTGCCATCTTGAGGAGGGTTACAAAAACATGGAGCACAAGTGGATCTCATGTGCCCGCGTTGCTTCATCCATGTAGAGGACAACTTGCATCTCTTCTTCCAATGCCCCATTTCTCAGGCAATATGGAGTTTTGCTTATCCCAAGTTTCAGTCAATTCAAAATGGGAATGCCACAACATTTCCTGGGTGGTTTATTCACTGGATATGGTCCTCCACTCCACCGGAAGACCTAGATTTATTCCTTTTGATATTCTGGAGAATTTAGCTGGATAGGAATGGTAAAGTGTAGTGTTATCAGAGTGTGGATCACATGACTTCTTGGCGACTTATCCAGCACGAATTCAGTCAACACAAAGCTGGTCTAATGAGATGGAAATCCCTTGAGGCTTCAGATCATCAAGTTACTTTTCCGATGAGATTGACAGGTAATCAGGCAACAGTAGCGTTTGATGGTTTCTTCAATCCTATAACAGAATAGTAGCAGGGGTATAGAAAATAAGCTCACTTACACGAAAACTCATGCAAATTAACTGTCTAACTCTTAGCGCTCACCTTTTCAAACTGAAGCTATGACATGCCTCATGGCCCTTCAACATGCTTCAAATTTTGGCCTATCAAACATGGTCATCCATACGAATTATGATCTGCTGACAACAAATCAAAGGCCGGACTCTCTCTCCATAGAGGCTCAAGATGTAGTAGCTATGTTACGTCAATTAATGTCTACATTTCAATATTGTACCTTAGTTAAAGTTAGTAGGAATAATATCCGTGATCTACATAATTTAGCTTATGCGATACTACAATGTAATAGTGTAGGTACTTCGAGTTAAAACAAGGTAGAGTTTCAAAAAAAAAAAAAAAAAACTGCCGGGATGTGATTTTAAATAATGATGCCAAAAAAAATGATAAATTAAATGTGAATTATTATGTTAAATGAATAATATAATGTGAGCTAATTTGATGATGTGCCATTATTTATGCACATTATTTATGCATTATCTATCTTTTTATTTTTATTTTATCTGAACTCTACCCGAAAAACAATTGATTCATTTATGACAAAAAGAGTTTTGTGTTTCCAATATCAAGTTGCATTTTCTTGTGCTAATGAAATGTTACGACATCAAAAGAAAAAGAAAACGCCACCCAAAATAATTAAAAGAAAAGAAAAACAAAATATATGGTTACAAAAGAAAAAGAAAAGAAGAAATATACAGTGTCGTCATACCAGGACTATCTTACTTGCATTATTTGGGTAAAAATGTAAATATATTGCATAATAACTTGTGAGTACAGATTTACAACCAAAAGAAAGATACTTTTACAACTCATCTGTCAATTCTACTCTATCAACTAACAATAAACTCAACAAAATAGCTGCTGCAAAATTTTCTGTTCCACTGCTGATGTTGGTTTCCTTAAACAGTTTTGAACTCTCCAGTCTACCTCTTTTCTAATCACTTATATTAACTGACTACTACTTCTTTGTTTGCCAACAAAACATCTCATATTCCTTGCTTCCCAAAGATGATGTATCAAAGCAGAGAATGCAGCAAAAAGTATCTTTCTCTTCAGTTTAGAATTTCTCCATGTACTCAGAATTTTCCTTCTCCATCCATTCTGATGCCATGGAAGCTGGATCCTTAACCATCTTAATCGCATTTATTATTTAATTTTTGTTCTTAGAAAAAAAAAACCAAACATAAAAGTGCAGTTACCTGACAAGAGTGAAATTGAATAAAATGGCAGTCCAGTTGAAGATTAAAGAATAAGTTCAGACCGAAACAACTCAATGCGGGATTTCTAACGGTATCAGGGTAGCAAAGAAAATGCCAATCCCGAAGAAAGATGGCAAAGTCAGAATGTGTGTTGACTATCGAGACCTGAAAAGGGCAAGCCCGAAAGATGATTTTCCGCTACCACACAAAGAAATGCTCGTCGACAATACTGCGGGACATGAAGAATTCTCCTTCATAGACTGGATGGACTAGAATCTTTGAACTCCTAGCCCTCTAGGAGGCAATAATGTCCTACTATATTATATAGGGGCGCGCGAAGGGCTCTTTCCATCGAACAGGGAAGGACTCTTATTCATTAGTTGGAATCATTACTAGTTTACACCCCTATAAGAAGAATTTTTGGCACGAAAATGGTACATTATCTTGGGAATTATATAATTATTCCACAAATATAAATTTAACAATTGTATTGATTTTTTACTCTGGTCACTTATGGGATTGGACATTAGAATCTTAAGTATATTTTAATTACATACTTATTTATGAAGTTACTGGTATAAATTCAAATATTCAGGAATCACTGTTTGCAACGCGTGCATTTTTTTTTTTCCTTAGCAACGTTGGAAAAATATAGTATGATGAAAATGACACTGATGAGGAGCTTCCTTTGCAGCATATTGATCCTCCCCCTATTTATTTGTTGTAAGTCAAATTTCTATGTTCATTTTTCTTTCTGGATTACATTGAGTGCGATTTTTTAACTCCAAACTCCTAATGACGATATTATGCTCTTAATTAGTGTTTACTAACACCACCTAAATAAATAATCTATTATATGGCATTTTGTTTGGGGTCCATACATTAATGGTAAATAATAATAATGAAACTGATACTAATTACCTTTTTTTTTTTTCGGTAAATGACAGATGAAGAAATGAAGGCGTACGGTTGAAGCTGATTGAAATATACCAGCTAAATATTTTGAGGGCTTTCGTTTTGATTCGAAAGATTGTAAGGCTGCCTGCAAAGATCAAAATTATGATAGTGGCAAATGGGCTGAATTATTTCTTGGGAAAATGCAAATGTACTCCCTGTTCCTGATTAATTTAATTACTTGAAGATTTAATGTCAAATTTCTAAAATATATTTATCTTTCAATATTTCAAAACTAAGATTATCGATCGATTATAACAAAAAATTTGTTCAAAGACAATTGAGCGAATCAAATGTTTCTCCAATCAATTTTCAAATTTCTTTATCTTATTTTTAAAAATTTAATTTAATTTATTCCGTAGGTTAGATTCTTCTTCAATGGTAAAATTTGCCAAAAGTTATCATATGAAAAATTGAAAATGAAAGTGTTGTCCATTTCATCATTATTGTACCCAAAAAAAATAATAAGGGTTAATTCAAAAGAACCCCCTTGTGGTAGTGCTAACTACATGGAATCCCCCTGTGATAAGAAAACATCAAAAAAAATTCCTTGTTATTTGTTCGAACTTGGGAAATGGACGGAAAACACCAAAATTAACGGAGATTTTAATTCACGCACTGGTTTTGCGAATGGGTAATTTAACAAGAGCAGATACAACACTTACTATACCTGTACTACCCTTTAAGTTTATTTCTCCTTGAATAAATCTCTTTTTTTCTTTCAGCCATCCCCACCAAGCACATTCCCAATCCATTTGCTACTTTTTTTGTTTTGAACATCAGCACACAGTGCTATATATTAAATCTCGTGATCGACAGATTTTACAAACAGCTGTTGAAACCGCTGCCTAGCCAAAACATGTGCTACACTAACCTGAGATCTAAGAACACTCAAAATTCTAACTTGCATAAAGCACTGCATTAGATCATATATATCAGATATAATAAATCGAATCTCAGTTGGCACCGAGCTTTCCTGATTGATAATGTTGGCCAATTGCTGACAGTCGGTTTGCATTTGTATTCTTGGATGAACTCCAAAATCAACTGATTTTAAAGCAAAAAGGCACGCCAAAGATTTTGCCTGGAGTGGCGATGCAGCCGCAAACTCAGCATTCCCGATGTTGAGAACTTTGCCATGTGGAGAGGTTAAATACCATCCTGCAGTTGGTTGGTGGCGGATGTCATTGTAGGCACCATCAAAGGTCAATGTGGGATACAGAGGAAGAAGTGAATTATATTGTAGAGAATTTCCTTTCCCACCCGGATCAAAGGGAACAGAGAGCGAATTATCAGTTTTGATCGTAGCCGCCGACACTGCTAAGTTGACCACCTGAATTGGGGACGGAGGTGATGATTCTCCGTTTAACACAGAGTTTCTGTCTTTCCATATTTCCCATATAAGCCAGAATGAGAGAATTCTAAGGTCATCCGAAGGAGCCTTGAGAACCCACTCCTCAAGCCAAGCTGTGAATGGAATTCTTTCGCCTATATCAAAATTGAAGCCTAATGGCGATGCTCTCCATATGGACATTGAACGTGGGTAATGTAGAAGCAAATGCTCAATAGTCTCATTTTCAGTACTACACCTTAAGCATAATCCGACAGGACAGATGCCACGGTGAGCTAAGGCTTGCATTGTGGGACAAGCATTTGACGCTGCACGCCATAAGAAAAACTTGATTTTCTCCGGGATTTTGGCATTCCAGATTTTCTTCCAAGTCGGGGAGAGATGGCATAATTGGAAGATGAGGTTGAAGGTGGTGTCCAGTGGAGAGAATTCCTTTCTGATGCTTTCCTGTATGCGGATCGAACCGAATATTCGCCACAAGGTTCAAGGGACCAGTAGAGTTCATCCTTATGGTCTTGTGGATTCTGTGGAAGGTAAATGGTCCGAATGATTTGAACAATGTGAGGGGGAAACAATACCTGCAGGAGATCAATGCGCCAACCATTATTAGGATGGATGAGAGCTTCGACTTTGAATGCTTCCAGTTGAGGCGAATTGGGTTGAAAAGCGAGGGGGTTATGTGCTCTCGGGATCCAGTTTGCTGTCACCGATACTCGTTTCCCATTTGCAATTTTCCATTTGAGACCCGTGTGTAGTAAGTCCCTTCCCCATAACAGTCCTCGCCAACCCCGAGTAGCGTTTCTCCCTGGTTGGACCGTGAGAAAGCCAGCCTGTTTACAGTATTTTGTAGTATATATTCTAGCTAGAAGACTTTGAGGGAAATGAAGAACCCGCCATGCCAAACGTCCTAGCAGCGCCTGATTCATATGCGTAGCTGATCGCATACCTAGGCCTTCATGAAAACGGGATTTACATAAAACTTGCCATGATTTCAAATGAATCTTATGACCTTCTTGATCACCTTGCCATATGAAGCGAGCTATCTTGGAGCCAATGGTATCTTTGATACTTTTCGGAAGTTTGAATATACCCATAGCATACTGTGGTAAAGTAGCCAGGACATGTCGGGCCAGGGTTACCCTGCCTACTGGTGAAAGGAGGTCCGTTTTGTAGCTCGCAATTTTCCGCTGGATTTTTGTGGGAATTCCTGCAAAGATACTTCGTCTGCGGTGACTAAAATCAATGGGAAGTCCCAGATAGGTTCCATCTTGAAGCGGTCTGTCCACATGCAGAACTGATCGGAGTAGAGCCGCGAAGCATGTGTCGATATTTGGGCTAAATAACAATGCTGACTTATCAAAGTTTATTCGCTGGCCTGAATGCCGCGCATACCCATCCAGTATTCTTGCTAAGAGGTAAAACGTAGACAGCCTGGCTTTGGCAAACAGCAAACATTCGTCAGCAAACATCAAATGAGAGACAACTGGTGCACCACGTGCGATTTCTAAACCCAATCCTGACCGAGAGCCTTCAAATGCCTTTAAAGCCGATGACAGTGGTTGCTGGGCCAAGATAAACAAAAACGGCGATAAAGGGCACCCCTGCCGTAAACCTCCCGTTGGATAGAAAAAATCTATTTGCATTCCATTAAATCGAATGGCAAAAGAAACTATTTCAACACACTGTCGAATGTATGCTAACCAAGTGGGAGGGAAAGCCATCTTTTGGAGCACGTGATTAAGAAATGACCATGATACTCGGTCGTAGGCTTTATTCATGTCGAGCTTTAAGGCTGCCCAGGCTGACTTCTGATCCCGCCGCTTCCTAATAGATTCCAGGCGCTCATGAGCTATGAGAACATTCTCGTTGATTGAGCGATGAGGGACAAAACCAGCTTGAGGCTCAGTTATTAAGGAAGGCAACAGAGGTCGCAACCGGTTGGCCAGAAGCTTCACAATCACCTTGTATTTGACATTGCAGAGGCTTATAGGTCTAAAATTTGTGGGCGTCCTAGGATTTCGAATCTTTGGAATCAACACGAGGATAGTACGATTCCATTCAGACTCTAAATTAGGGTTTTCAAAAAACTGACTGACCGCATGCACCAGAGAATCCTGAGTTTCAGACCAGTAGTGCTGAAAGAATCCGGCAAGAATACCGTCTGGACCAGGTGCTTTCCAAGGGTGGATGTTATGCACCACTGATCGAATCTCCTCCATCGAGAAAGGTGCTTGCAAAGCTACCTGTTGAGCCTTCGATAAGGTAGGCAGTGGGCTAAGTAATTCCATAAGAGTAATTTGATTCCTTTGGAAGTATGGGTCAGGGTGGGGGGTGGATAGTAATCCGGTTGCCCATACAATCCTTTGAAATGAGATAAGATCACTTGTTGGACCTCCTTTGGGTGAGTCACCCAGGAACCATCAGGCTGCTGCAATTTATTAATCCAATTTCGGCTTTGGTGCTTAGAAGCCCAACTGTGAAAGAGGCGGGTATTTCAATCACCTACAAGATTCCATGATATGGTGGCTCTCTGTTTCCAATATACCTCTTGGAAGTCTAGTAAGCGATCCAGTTCCGCTCTTAGTTTTTGTTCCTCTTATACTTGAGCATCAGACCTGGACAAAGGCTGATTATGGGATAACAATGCCTTTTGTGCCTGCTCCAGGTTACTCCGAAGAGTCACAATACGGTTGTCCAAAGCTCTGTGAGATTTTTTATGCCAATTGAGAAGATGGCCGAGAGTAATCGCCAATTGACTGGATACAGCCTTCATCGGAGAGGCAGGGTTCGATGGATTGGCTACCCATGATTTAGCCACTATGGATCTTGCCGCTTTTTTTTTCCAGAATGCCTCAAAACGCAGAACCGGTATGTGTTTCCGCGGATGATAACGTGTGTTGATGAAGATAGGCCCATGATCAGAGTGCATGATCGGAAGATTGCGTAGTACCGCATATGGGAAAGACATTAACCATCTGTGGGAAGCCAAAGCTCGATCTAAGCGTTCATATATACAAGAATAACCAGCCCTATTATTCGTCCATGTATACCACACTCCGTGCTGAACTTCTGACAGGCCTAAGTGTTGAGTAAGTTGTAGTAACGGGGAAGCCTGGGCCTGATTAAACATTCTACCCCCAAATTTGTCAGCAGGAGACAAAATTTGGTTGAAATCGCCAATAACTAAGATCGGGTAATCAAAAGGAGTGAGTGCATTGGATAACTGTTGCCATACAGATGAGCGATTCGCAACAGCGGGCGAACCATATACACACACCAACAGCCATTCTAAGGCATTGCATTCTACAACCTTACAACATACGAAGTGCTGAGTAGATATCACAACTTGTATATTTACAGACACTGACCACAGTACCGCAAGCCCACCCGCAAAACCAACCGGAGGAACCACCTCCATATTTACAAGATCTGTAAATTGTTGCCAACTGGACAAACGAGATTGTGTACAATGAATTTCCATAAAAAAGACTACCTGCGGGTGATACGTCACACAAAGCCGGTTCAAAAGACGAACTGTAGGGCGGCAGAAACCCCTACAGTTCCAAGAGAGGATCTTCATGGATGAGTGGGTAACTGCTGCGGGGCAGTTGCCGGAACCCCTGAAGTACGCGGTGATGAACCTGTTGTTAACTTATAGAAATAGCGTTTTGATTGAGGTGACAGGCAGACATCCGGTATTGGTAGTGGGCAAGTTCTCTTCCTAGGTGGCAGCAGGGGGCGAACCTAATCGGGATCCGGGGAAGAGCGTTTTGCACCCGCCGCCAGAGAGCATGAAGAAAGATCGAAATTCGTTCGATTCTCAAAGATGGTAAAGCCTACTGCTGGCTGTTGGCCACAAGTGATAGAGGAGGATTTGGATTTCTTCCTTCTGAGTCTGGACGGAACAGAACAAGGGCATTTTCCCCTACGAATCTCGCAGTGGAGATGGCGGATTGGAGTGGGGAAGGAGGTTTCCTGCGAGGCTGATGAGTTAGATTCATCACGGGAGGAAGAAAAGGCAGCGCTTTGATAGGGGGTTGGAGAGGAATCAGAGAGGGGATCTGGTATCCAGAGAGCATCTTCATTCGGAGAGGGAAGACGTACAGTGGTGTTAGAGGAGGCAACCGGGTACAGTGTTAATTGTTCAAGTAATACATTCGTTGTTGGAGATATGGGTTTGGGAATGGGCGGGTCAGGAAGGGAGATATCCATGGGAATTGGATCCTCCCTAGCTAAATTCGAAGAAGGGCCTGGATCCAAAGTATCAGCTGAAAGATGGGTTTGTTGCATTGGATTAGGCCTGGTTTGGGAGTGGGCCAATTTGGCAGATGATATTAATCCTATGTCAGTAGCTTCCTCATACCAAGGCATTCCCTGTGACGGGCCCAAGTGAGGACCAGCAGGATGCTCCAGGGTAGGCCCATCAGATGTTGATGTGCCAGTAGCAGAGCCCGCCCATTGCGTTCGATCTGATGGTGACGTTCCTTCGATGGGCACCTGAATCGCATCCGTGGCTAGGGGATGAGGGATGATAGCACAAGCATCGTCAATAGGGCTACTGTCTCTGTTTTCCGAAGAAGAAGAAAGTGGTGGGGGACTGTCTTCGGGGTGTATGTGCCATTCCCCTGGTTCTTGAGGAGGCCTGTGAGGAGGATAAACCTGCAAAGGATGCGGCGAGGCTGGGAAGGCATCCCGCTCTTCCCATAACTCAAACTCAAAACCTTCTGCAAAAACATCATCTCCTGCCCCTCTTAGAAAATCCAAATGATCGGCCACATAATTTTCCGGAATAAACGTTGACCTGCGATTATGTTGGTGTGCATAGGCACGCATATAGGCTGGAAATAGGTCCTCCACTTCTCCGTGATAGAGGGCCAAATTATGCAACCTTGCTACACGTTGAAATTGAAGCTCATGGCGGCGTTCTAGGATGTCTTCGTTCTGGTGAGGACAACGCATGAGAGGATGGCCCACAAGACCGCATCTACGGCATATCTTATAGATACGCTCATAACGACACTGTATCCAAACCATCCTACCATTGAAAAGTTGCAGGTAGAATCCTGGCAGGAGAGGCTCTCGGAGATCTACCCACACACGGGCACGCAAAAAATCCAGGCGTTGATTCCGGCGGAAACCTGGTTGTAATTCTGCCACGTGACCAACTAAGGATGCTGTCCGGTAGCCAGCCACCACGTTGAAGCATTCTGGAGGTAATCCATAAAGTCGAACCCACACGAGGGCACGCGTTACATAGATGGTGGGAAGGGGCATGTAAGGAACCCATCGCCGAACCAAAAGCAATGCGCCATCAATAGCATATGGACCATTGTATAGGATAGCACGACGGAACAGGGTATTAGCACACCTGATAACATAGAATTGTCGAAATTGACCGAGTAGTTGTGCGTTAGGTCCCCAGTGAGTATCGATATACAGTTGCATCCGTTCAAAGCTGAATTGCCGATCGTCGGCAAGGTATGCTAGTATGTAGTTATCTCAGTTGTCCTTCTGCGACGTCTTCTTCAAGCAATACAAATCGAGGTCCTCGTCGAAAAGCGAGGTAGAATTGAAGATCCAGCTCTTCACCAGGAGGAATATCATGTTCCTCTTCAGAAAATTCAGACGCATCGGATGGCGTACGGGGAGATTGACCTTCTTGGAGATGGAAAGCCATGATGAAGGAGGATAAAGGTTTGGAGGTTGTTCGGCGTTCTAGGAAGTTTGGCGGGAAGAAACTAGGAGCTGCAAGTGGGTTTTACTTAATATGATTTTTATTTTTATTTGTATTATTTTTTAATGTTTACAGTAGCTTTCTAAACCGAAAAGGGCAGTAAATCACTATAGGAGGGTGACTAAGTATAAAAGAAGGAAGATGATAAGGACCGCTGGTGATCAATTCTGGAGTTGCTACGTACAAAAAACGAAAAGCTTAATAAGCAGTCTATGGGGATAAAGTAAGGTAAAACTAGGGTAATGATTGAGTTTAGGATAGGAAGGAACTGTGAATTATTGGAGGATTCCTATAAAAAGTCGGTGCAAGAAGAACCTAGAGGAAGCAGGGTAGATCTATACCAACTAGGTAAAACAGTTAATGACTTTTACTCGGGGATTTACTGACGTTATGCAAGGCCTGGGTTGACTTAACTAAAAGCTGCATGCACATGCAGAAAGAAGCTCGCTCGTGGCGAGAGAGAAATTTTTTTTGCTCTACTTGTCTAGAGAAATATAAACCGGGACTCTATCCGTTTGCTACCGCTAACCAATTGCCACTTGCTTCCATCAGCCCATCACCTCCTTTATCAACTCGTCGTCATTAGTTGATTAGGCTTAACCATATCATTAGGTTTAAGTGGCATAGAATGGTGGTTTTATTGGCAGTGTTGTAGGTGGCTCTAGCTGTAGTGCTGGTTTGACATTCCGGCGTAAAAATATATTGCTTTGCTGGTGTTTTTGCCATTTTGTTTTTAAACTGGTTATATTTCTTTAAATTTCAATTGGATTTTTGGAAACAGTGGGTTCATTGATTAGAAGATGAGTAAAATTTGTTCAAATAGAATTGGAATTTTCCCTTTTGGTTTGGGACCTCAACATGATATGGAACGCAAAACTAATTTAGAAATCTGAACTTTGGGATAATTCTTCATCTGAATTTTAACCATTTCTCATGGGAAAACAAGAACCCGTAAAGGCGCAAAATGATCTAAAGATTTGATTCAAAGTGTGCTAAACCTTTATTAATTCTCGTTAAAAAAAAAAAGAAAAAGGAATACGAAATTGATTCAACAGCTATTGATGGAATATTGAAGAAGGAAAGGAATTGTGGGCAAAACGGGAAGCTAAAATGTCTCCGTCAATTTTGGAGCGTGACATCCATTTACCAATTTGGGACAAAACACAAGGGGTTCTTTCAGATATTTTCTTAGCACAGGGAGGTTTTGATGTAGTTGGCAATACCACAAGGGGTTCCCCGAATTAACCCAAATAATAATAATACGGTGATAATGTATTCATCAGATCTATAAATAGGACTTGATTTCAAAGGAGGATTTTTCTTTTATCGGAATAACCAATGAAAAATTAACCCTGTTGAACGAAAAAAATTCTGACACATATATCAACAATGATGGTTAAGCATTAATACATTACTCAAGTCAAGCGGCTGTTTATAGCCGAAATTTGTTACATATGTACTTCCTCTATTCCAAAATAAGTGTCATTCTACACTTTGCACATAGTTTAAGAAACTCTTAAATAGGGTAATAAAATTACTTGAATATCCTCAACCAACCCCATTAAAAAAATATCCACTAATAATATTAATTCTTTCAAGAGTAATTTAAAAACTTTGGACAAAAAGTGCATTGAAATGTGAGAACGACACTTATTTTGAAATTTTTCTATTTTGCTAAAACGACATTTAATTTGGAACGGAGGGAGAGTACCTATTTGATACCAAGTCAAAGCCGCTGTTTATAGTCGAGATTTGACACATATGTACCTATTTAAATCTGACACAAATACATTGTACTACCTCTGTCCCTAAATTATTGTCCAATTTGAATTTTTAATCTTAGTTCAAATTGTTCAAAAATTGAAATATCAAATTGGATGATATTTTTGGGACATACTTTTATTGATTTTAAAAATTCATATCTACGTCATTTGTTCGGGTCAAAATTCAAGCTATGCACATAATTAATGAGCTTCCGGAATAATTCTGATCATTTAACGATACTAAATAATCGGCTGGTTGTAACTGACCTTGACCCGTTATATAACCATTACATGATGAAAAAAATCTCTGATCCCCTGAAATAAGCTAGCCTCAAGTGAATAATATGATAAGAAGCTTCTTTTCATGAAGAAGCTTACTCAATAGAGAAGCAGTTGAGCAAGCCGACAGTCAAACCCATCGGGGGTCATTACTTTCACATGGATCTCCCGTTTCTTATTATCCAGTTTAGATTTTCACTTTTAGCTCAATTCATAATAAAAATAAAAGTACCAACTGGATAATAATTTCGAGACAGGGGAGTTTAAAATTTCCCGCAAAAAGAATATTAATTTTAGGGGTCAAGAACAACAGCAACAATTAAAATTATATGGATAGTCTGAAAGGATGTACTTGAAAAACATTCTTTAAAAACAAAATACTGCAATGAAGTTTTATCAATAAAGGGATAAAATACTACAGTAACTAGTAACTACGAACGAGTTTTGACGATGAAAAAGGTCCAGTTAAATCTTGTAGGTTTGGGGGAACTAGAGAAAATTGGGAAGCAATGCAGATTTGATCCTCTCCATGGTGGACTCAATAAGATCGGTTAGGATGGCAACAGATCCATTAATGTTAAACCAGGATGTTTCATTTGAAGGATCGACCAGAATTTGGAAAACCATTGTTACTAACGATCCGGCCGCTCCGGCGCTAACTCCCGGAGGATTCATTATTGTTGCTAGTGATGATGGCTTTTCACTTGGATAAATTGTGAATCCGGATGGAAGGAGTTCCACTTTTTCTGTCATTTCACCGACCAATAACTTTCTTGCAACTTGAGATTCGATTGGTGCATAAACAATGCAAGACGATGTTGGATCCGTACTACATTCTTGGAGAACCAACAGTTCTGGTCCGCTGTTTTCACCCTGCAACGAAATTAGAATGAATTTTTCCATATTTCAGTCCTTCAGATTCTGTTATGGTTTTAAATGTAATATAATAATGAAATAAGTGATTAATAACTTACATTAAGGATTCGAAACATGGATACAAAGTTGCCAACTTCATGGCCACAGGTTATGCGAGCAAATTCCTGAATTTCTCCTGTGCTTGCCAAAACGTCCCACTGTATACATAATTGAAAGGTTTTATTAGAAATAGCAATGATCAAATGGTATTTAAAATCAAAGGTCAATGAAGCATTTTGATGGTACCAGTTTTCGAGTATTTTGATCGGAGAGGAACTCGAACACCAATTTATGGTGGAGCGGAAGCCAGAAGAAGGTTGTGGCACTTAAGAAAGTCGAAAAGGGCTTGCCTGGTTCGCTGTTGTGGGTGGTTTTTGTTGTGAATTTGATTTCATCATTTCCATTTCTGGCTGATTGATTCACCCACGAATATGGAGTTGAGGATGTTACTCCCTTACAAAGACTTAACACCATCCTTTCAGACAGCTTCATAATATCTTTCCTAATCTTTGGATTGCTTACAACTGACCCAAAAAAAAAAAAAAAAACCCTAATATTATATCTTAGTTCAGGAGGGGTCAACAAGTTCATTACATGGCTAAACTAGTTATGAAACTTACCAGCATCGCTGACATCATCAGGCGGGAAATTAATCACGGATACAGCTGCAAGCCGTTCACATTGTCTAGCGAGAACTGAAACCCATCTCTCAGCCCCAAAAGCAAGAAGGGAATCAACAAAAGGCTTCCCCAATGGATGAACTCCTCCATCTTCCACCTCCACATGCTCTATCCATGTTACCTTTTCAAAAAGTTTTAAAAAAATAAATAAATTAGAAACCGATGGCTTTGGTGAAGACTAATCATACTGTAATTACCAAACGGAGGGAGTGAATACTAGTACATACTCTGGATCCACCACTTGGAATGGATTGGATGATACATCCTGACGGCATCCGGTGGCAGTTAGGGATTGATGGACTTGTGCCGTACTTGTTACCCAAGGAGACATCAACCACAACCCATATATCATCGGCGAGTTTTCTACAATGTCTCGCAAATATGCTATTTCTGGTGGGGACAATGGGGGTCAAGACATGATATTCCGCAGACATCTGCCAAAATAATGGAGAAAGATTTCGTGTTATTTGATGAAAAACCCTAATCATATCTTGGATATAAGAAGTGGATGAAGATTTGGTTTTGATTCCATGAGAAAAAAAAGTTCCAGGATTTTTGGCAATTTACTTTTTGAAGTGTCCGAATTAGTATATAGGAATTTATAAGATGATTTTCTAATTAAAAGAAAACAAAGGCAAGTGGCTGAAGTTGAGAGGTACCACAAGCAAGGAATGATCATAGTTTCCAGATTGCCCAGCAGTGATGATGTCTAGGATTTCGGCCTTTGAAACAATGCTTTTAAAAATTGCTAAGAACATCTCCTGTGATCAGGGGAAAAAAAGACAAAGGGTTTCAGTCATACATAGCTGTAGTTGTGGAGTATTATTTTTCTTATTACCGCGCAACATCAGTCATCTGCTCATCGCTCTAAATGAATTAATTTAATATTTGTATCATTTATTCAAAAAAAAATGTTTTAATACCGAAGGAATTAAAATAAAAGTCGATATACGAATAAGAAGAGGAAGAATTAATTTACCATTTCCATCAAAACATCGACGAGATGCAAGGAATCCATCATAACCATCTCAGAGTGTTGGGTTCCTTCGAGCTTAAAAGAAGAAGGTGTTCTCATCCCATTTGCTACTTTTTGGAACATTTCGCAATAAATCTCTTCATTAAGGAGAAGCTGCCTTTGTTCATTACTCGGAACCCATAATGGGTATCCAGCTAATGACATCTGGTTCAGTTCACTCATTCCGGAACTCGCGAGTTCAGTAATCATTCTCCGGTCATTTATAGGTGGCGTTGCTGGTGCTGTTGCTGCTGCTGGTGCACTAAAACGCACAGTTGAGAGATCTTCCTCGAAAAGGAGATCTCCTTCAACTTCTGGTTGTCCTAATCCACCAAATGCGCCGAAATCAATGTCTTCTCTGGCAGCAGCATTACCAACAATGACCGGCGGGGCAGGATTAGGCAATATGTTGTTCTGATTTGCAAATTCATTGCCTCCAAACTGGGCAAGATACGCTGTGCCCCTTGCAATCTTAAAAAATAATTGAAAACATTAAAGAGAAAATAGAATAGATTGGGTTTTTTTTTTTTTTTTGGGGCAATCACAAATGGACAAATTACTTTGACTAAATTCTCAAATTTGTTTTCGCATATGTTGTGAAAGATATGAAAATAATAACATTGGTAAAAAGAATTGGGGAAAAAAGAATTTCATGATACCTCGGCTCTCAGTCTTTCATTTTCCAACCTTAGATTATTTGCTTCAAGAGGGGAATGTGGCACAGCCTGTTGTTCGCCACAAATAGGGCAGCATCCGGTAGCAAGAGTATGCCGGAGACTCATGTTCTCGGCGCGAAGCCTCTCGTTCTGAGCTTTCAGTTGGAAATTTGTCATGCGTTCAGATTGTGCCTATAAAATATAAACAATTTCATGTTAACAAGTGATAGAAAGAAACTTGGAAGAATCATAATTGAATTTCGCCACCTTGAGTTGGGTCCGTTTGTTCTGAAACCAAAATTTAACTTGTAATGGTTCCAATCCAAGAGCGTAGCTAAGCTCCTTACGCTGCTTATCATCTGGGTGAGGGCATTCTTTGAAAAACCTAAGAAAAAAAAAAACCATAAAATAGAAAAAATAGAAATGTTGGAACAAACACGATTTTCCTAAATGAATGTGTGATTCAATTTGAAATATCAACACTACAATTCATAATCACTGTCATATTGAATTCAAACTTACGCTTCCAATTCCCTAATTTGATGATCACTGTGGCGATGATAGCGCTTCCGCTTAGCGCTGCCGGCTTTGCTTGTTTCTCCAACGTCGCGGTTCTCGTTACCTTGCTTCTTAGAGCTTGATTTCGGTTCAATGTCATCATCTGTTTCAGCAGCTTCGGATGTATTCGAGTGCACAGTCTCAGCTTTGTTAGAGTTGCTTGCCTACAGAAAGAAGTCCAAATTTTTACGGTTACACAAATCATGATGAAGACAACATTTCATGTTTGAAATTTAAAATGCCATGTAATGTTTCCGTTGGAATTGCCAAGGTATTTTTTACAAATTTAGAAAAATAGTAATGATAAAGATGTGTGAATGAGAGATGGGCAAAATGAAACGTTCATATTATTTTTCCTTACAAAAATGCATACAACTGAACAAGTTTCACTACATTGAGGTTACCATGTATATGTTTCCTATACGCTTTATATGTTCAGTATTTTTCGAAACATAACTGAACAAAAATTTTAAAAACAACACAAAATAGTGAAATATTATAATTTTGATGATGCAAAATAGTGGCGTAGTAATGATTTAGCTATTACCAATTGTCACGTCACAGATATAATCTCAGCACTATACAGATTCTAACGTTTGCTTCGTTAATACCATACATTCATTAATGAAATACAGTTGATAACCATAACTGAAACAAAAGAAGTTAATTGACCATCGTGTAGCAGATAATAGACGTTGACTATTTGGACAGAAGTGTCTGGTCTTACTTACACGTGTGATTTGTTTCAAGAAATTAATAAATACTCGTGTGTATTTTACAAATTGTAACTTTTTGTAAATTAAAATAATCTTTGTTAAAACAATATATAATTTAAGAGTAGCGTACTAAATAGAGTAATTAGTTATGATAAATGTGTGAGTGGACGCGGGTGCGTGCCTTAATACTTTTCTAATTATTAATGACGAAAATTTGGATGTAGCAAGGTAAAAGATTTATGCTAAAATTTAGAAAATTACGATGTTGTTGAGGACTTTCACGAGTCAATAAATGGTCAACTCCCTCGTAAGAAAAAAGAAACAAACTCCATATGATTTTTGTCTCAAACCAAAAGGAAATCTGCTGAGTTGACTGTCTACTTCTTTTCTTAGAAGAAACAAGTGTTTGTGTCCCTGTCGATCACAGAGAGGCTAACTACACGAGTTTTTTGGTTGAACCAAAGTAAGATCTTTAGGCTCTTTCAAGAAAATAACATTTTTTTTTCAATCAAAATTGTATTAGTAGATTAAATTAATAATTGAATAATTTTTTAAACATGCAACACTTTAGATATTACATATTCCACAATCTTGAAAATATAACAAAGTTTCTAATATTTGTATGGTTGAGAGATAAATTTGGACATCAAGCAGCCATACGCATATATCACAGCCAAAAAGGTGGAAAAAGTGAGCAAAAAGCCCTCACATTTTGTCATTCACAATTAATCATGTCAATGATGAAATCAATTGGAGGAGTTTTAAGGAGTTTAATTGACCTGCCCATTCGATCCCTCGGAAGCAATTTCTTGATTCTGCTCTATCTCAACAACCACTGGTAACTGTCCAATCATGATGGTTGAATCCTTTCTCATCTTTGAAAGTCCTGCAAAGTAAATGCACAATCACATAAGATACATTAGCAAATAAAGGGGAAAACAGATTTAATCATTCATTTCTATTATCTTTTATTTTAAAATTGATGAAATGGAAGGGGAAAAATAGGTCAAATCTTGGTTTCCCCTTTGGAATAAAAAAAAGTGTTGTAAATTACTTATTCCTTAAAAGTAAACAAAAGGAATTAAGAAAAAGGTTAAAAAATTTGTTAGAACTTTCAATATTTCGTTTTATAAATTTTAACACCAAGAATACCAAAAATGTTGCAAGTTACCATCAACAGTTTATATGTAAACGTAGATTTAAATCGGAGAAGAACTATAGACTTGATTTAAATCTGAGAAGAACTATACATATGAGGGCATAAATAGAGTAATCTCGGTTATCTCATTAACACAGAATAAAATCTAGTCAATGAATTTGGAAAGGTTTGGAAGAATGGTGTCTTAAAAGGTCCAGATTTATAGTCAAGTTTTTTATGGCAAAGGGAGAAAAGTCCCCTTCTTGCTTGAGAATAAAACTTAGAAAAAAAGGTGAAGGATCAAAAGCAAGGAAAGAAAAGAAAGTGAAAGAGATTAAGATGAAAAAAAAAAAATTATATGGACATGTAGAGGAAAATGGAAGAACAAAGAAAGAGAACCTTGAGGGGAAAAGCAGAGGGATTTGATGGAGAAACAAAGCAAGAATTGAGTGAGTTGCTATGAGATGTATTCTCAGTGCAATGGCCTTAAATAGAAGATGTGGAATTGCCAGAATCCTACATACACAGAGGATATATGGACACAAAGGGAGTTATCTCTTTTTCGTTCATTTGACTAAATGGTATGGGTAAATGAAATTATTTTTTGGACTCCAATCAAGTAAATTCACATACTATATTAACTCTCTATTTTGCATTTCTTTTCATTTTTATTTTTTTTTCACCACTTCACAAATAAGAAAGAAGAATATATTTTGGATTTTGTATGAACACAGTTATTAAGATTTTTAATAAAATATGTCTGAACTTTATATGACAAATTAAAAGAATACAATGCATATTGTGTTCTTCTGAGCAAATTCGGGATACATTAGAGGAGTTAATTTTCTGAGTTGTATGCAATGGATTCGTTTAATATTATAAAATTATAAATCAGGTAATTTAAAATTAGAGTGTTTTTTTAAAGTAAATCGGCATTTTACATTTCAGATTAGCAACAAAACTAATATATTTTACTACTATAATTTAGGAATTACTTATATCTCTGTTAAAAAATTGTTGGGGTTTAATTTTTGTATCCTTAGTTACCACAAAATAAACTTTGGTAATTAGAATTTTCCTAGCCAAAAAGGTTAAATATCTCCAAGGATCACAATTAATTTTTAAAAGGACGGAAAAAAAAACTCGAATGCAAATTAATATAGACAACTTTCCTTCAATTCACATCCAAATCAGTGCATGGTTTTTAATTGCACCAGCTGTAGCTAAGAAGAAAAAGGTTGAAAATCTCGACTTTAATTGCACCAGAGTGGTCGAGTATCGAAGGCGCAAGATATTATCTGTATTTTAAAATACTAAACTTACTCTCATTTCTTTTCACTTCGATTTCTATTGTACCAACCTCCGTCCAAACTGTAATATTTTTTCAATGTCAATCTTTTGCCTTTCTAGTTAACCCTACATTTTGTCAAAATAGTGGCCTTCGATCCCTAGCCATGGCTACAACTCAAATGTAACCATTAGTTAAAACTCTAGGACCAACACTTCCTACCATGCTCATCCCCTCTAGATACATCATGTTTAGTATCGGTTCTAAATTTGTAAGTATATAAAAATAGGGTTTGACCAGTACCTACCAATTGACCATCACCTGACCAGTAGCATAAACTTAATCGTCTTGAAACATATTGCATTGTTCTTCGTTAAATCATGCCTATATGTTCAAAGTAAAAGTGAGCTAAAACAGAATAAAATTTTATAAATAAACATGAAATGGGTTTTCAGGACAACTGGCATGATTGCATGAAGAACACATCTATAATCATATGTCAAGAACGTCATTGCCACATAGTAGAATTACATATCCACCCTTCAGTGAAATATTTCAAGTTTACCATTGTTTCGTGATTGTTATCACTATTCCCATTTGGCCTCATTTTCTAGTCGATGTTGAATCGTATGGGACGAAATTTCGTGTGCATAATTAAGTGTATGGCCATCTGCAAGAATTACTATTTATAATTTTCATCCATGTATTAGTTCTGGTTAAACCAATAATTAAAGTTAATTTTTTGCATTCAACAATTTTCTACGTTAGAAAACTAAATCATATGATAATAAGGTAAGTGCGTTATAGAACAATGATTTACCTCAATCCAATTGAAGCAAAGATCCAACATTCATTGGCTTACTAAATTACCATTTTCTTATAGAATCTAGAGGTACTTCTAATTTATTAATTGTTTCAGTCGAGTCTCTATCCAGTATACCCGGGGGCACCATACTCTGCCTCCTATTTTTTACACGACTAGTCCTTACTACACGTTTTCCACTTTTCTAAATAACATCCTATAATTTATAGGTTTAGTCCCTTTGATTTTCTTTCTCTCTCCTTTAAAAAACATCTCTAATCTTTAAACGACCATATCTCTCAATTCGGGAAGAATTAGAAAACGTGTTACAAATAAATTTTATTGTACTCGTCGAGATCTATCCAACAAGATCCATGTCGAATATTTTTTTCGAGTTTAAAAATGACTAAATTTTGATGGGCAGAATAAGATGGATATCTAGTTTAGATAGATGGATAACCAGTTTAGTTTAGAATAAGATTCTTGTATTGCATATATCTCTTTATCCGTAACGAATTAGAATACGAAATATACATGAAATTTATAGTGCTCGATGAAATCTATCTGATAAGATTCATGTTGAATATTTTTTTTGAACTTTAAATGCATTTAAATTTTACGGGCAGAAATGAAGAAATGTGTTTTTCGTTTTTCTTTGAAAAATGGTTATCCGTTGTCTTCCCACTGATTATCCAACCGGTTTGGACTGATTATCCATTCTGTTTGTACTTGTTATCCAATCATATTTTTGACATTCACTCTTCAGAAAAAAAAAAAGAAAGAAAGAAAGAAATGATTGGATAAGCATTGCAAACAATTTGGATAATCAATAGAAAATAATTGGATAATCCATGCAAAAAGTTGGATAATAAGGAAAAAAAATACTGGATAACCACCACAAAGAAGTTTGATAATCAATATGAACACATTGGATATCCAGTTTAAGAAGATGGATAACCAACTTATTTTACATTCATATTGTTGTGTTCCTTATATCTTTTGATCCGTAAAGAATCATAACACGAATTATATATGAAATTTATAGTGCTCGACGAGATCTATCCAACCGGTTTAGACTGATTATCCATTTTGTTTGTACTTATTATCCAGTCATATTTTTTACATTCACTCATCTTCAAAAAAAAAAGAAGAAAAGAATAAAAAATAAAATATTTGGACAAGCATTACAAACAATTTGGATAATCATTGAAAATAATTGGATAAGTAGTACAAGCTGGTTGGATAACCAGTGCAAAAAAATCGGACAATCATTTTCACAAAAAAAAAGGAAGGAAAAAAAAGGTTGGATAACCATCACCAAGAAGTCGGATGGATAATCAGTATGAACACTTTGGACACATATTTTATCAAAGGAAAGCAAAAAAGAAAAAGAACTGAAATTATGTTTGGACAATCAGTGAAAACGATTGGATAATCAATACAAAATGGTTGGACAGTCAGAACAAAAAAAATTGGACAAGAATTTTCACAAATATTAGAGAAAACAATTGGTCGGATAATCTATACCAACAGTTGGATAATCAATACGAATACGTTGGACAACCATTCTTTTTTCAAAAAAAAAAATAATAGAAAGAAAAACTAGGTTGGATAAGTAGTACAAATGAAATGGATAATTAGTTCAAACCTGTCGGATAATCAGTACGAACACAAAGGATAACTATTTTTTTAAAAAAAACTAGGTTGGATAAGCAGTACTGATTAGTTGGATAACAAGTACAAACATGTCGGACGAATATTTTTTCATAAAAAAAATAACTGAAGAAAAAATAGCACGGGTTTGGATAATCAGTATGCACATATTAATTGGACAAGCATTTTCTTGAGAGAAAGAAAAAAAAATGATTGGACAAGTAATTACAAACTTATTTGGACATGCAGTAAAAATAAATGGATAACCAATACGAAGCGATTGGATAATCAGTACGAATACATTGGATAATCATTCAAAGGAAAAAAAAATGATTGGATAAGCGACATAAACAGAATGGATAACCAGTATTAGCGTATCGGACAACAATTTTCTCCAAACAAAAAAAAATGGATAATCAGTACAAACAGTTTGGATAGGCATATAAATCCGTTGGATAACCAATACACATAAGTTGGATAGACATACAAACCAACAAGTGAATGGATACCCAGTACAAGCGAGTTGGATATCCAGTGCAAACAAGTTGGATATGCATATAAACTCGTTGGATTACAACTTCAAAACAAGTTGGATAAGAATAAAAACCAAATGGATGGATCTCCAGTACAAACGAGTTGGATATCCAGTACAAACTGGTTGGATAATCAGCATGAACACCCAATTTAAAATAACTTAGTTATCCATTTTGTAAAACTGGATATCAACCTTCATTTTGGCCATCAGAATTTAATTATTTTTAAGCTTGGAAAAAATATTCACTATGGATCTTGTTGGTTAGATCTCGACGAGAACAATAAATTTCATGTGTAACACGTTTTCTAATTGTTCACGGATTGAGAGATATGTTTGTTTAAAAATTAGAGATGTTTTTTTGGAGGAGAGAAAAAATTAACAGGTACTAAACTTGCAAATAATAAGAAGATTATTAGAAAAAGTAAAAAAAATATAATAAGAACTAGTAGTGCAAAAAAT